AAGAAACGAAGCTCTTTTCTACACCTCCGAAAGCTGAGTGCTCTTAGTCGACATTCCGAATCTCAAGAGGAGCGCCGAAATACTATCGCCGGAGGTACGAAGATCAACGGTGGTCTAGACACTAAAGAAGAAGATGAGGAAAGGAAATATTCAGCTGGTTCTATCGACGGCGAAGCGGTACCAAATCACGCCGATGAAGATAGAGAAGGTGACGAGGAGCTGGTATATAATGGACCCCCGACGACTTTGTTGGCCGAGCTCCAGATGCGAAAGCAACAACAGAAATTACGCACTCGACCGGCTGCTACTTCTTTCCCTAACGGCTTGCATTCTACACTACTTGAGATGGATACGGTTGCTCAGATCGAAAGTGATGCACGCAAAGGCAAGAAAGTAAATCTTGCGTGGGAAGACCCAAGCGCGAACCCAGCTGCCAATTCAGACGACGAAGATACGCCGTTAGGATTGCTTATGGTCGCGAAAGGACAAGGTAATGATATGACGGCCGCGATCGCTGAGATCAACCGGCCCCTTGGTTTGATGGAACAACGTGAGTTGGAAGATAGCGAACCATTAAGCCAACGTCGTGACCGGCTCCAAGGAAGAGAGGTTAACTCAATGAAACGGCAAAGCATGATGACACTTGGTCAGGGTCTCCACAATACGAGTAATAGTCTAGGGGCCATAAGCCCACAACTCCGTTTACACACTCCCGAGGAAGAGGAGGTTGAAGGTGAAACTCTCGGGGAGCGTATGCGGCGTCTAAGATCGCGTGAGCAAGCGGATAATCCTCTTCCTCAAGCCAGACCCGTCAGTTCTGCATTTTCAATGGAACTTTTGAGCCAGCTGGGTGAGGCGTTTAAGGAGGATGAAAGCGATGACAAGAGCCAGGATAAGCGAAAATCTCAGCTGAAAGAAGAAGAAGAGACATTAGGGCAGCGCCGCCGCCGCCTACAAGCAGAACGAGAAGCTCGCGAAGAAGGGACACCTGGCAACCTGCTTAGTGATGGGGTTGGCGACGCACGAAAACTTACGAACCGGCATTCGCTTGCTGATGTGCTTGGCACGCGCGGGTCGAAGACTCTTCTACGTGATCCTAGGGCAGAGGCAGAGAAAGCAAAACAACAAGAAGCTACTCGATATAGGCAAGATCAGGATCAGAAGATGGCTATACTCCGTGGCCAGATGCCTTCTAGTCTTAGCACACCAAATTTAAACCAACCGGGGGGGTACATGTCTGGTCGATTCAACGATGGTACAGGCGGCGGAACTGGCTATGCACGAACCAGCACAGCTTTAGGTGGCTATCCTAACCAAAGCATAGGAGCAAGCGACGGTCTGATGGGCAATACCTACCTCGCGGGTAGAACTATGGGTAGCCCGATACCCCCCTATGGTATTACCAACGGACTTGGTGCCCAGGTGAGCACCCCTTACGGGATGCAAGTACAGCCACCCGCTCAAATGGATAGAGTAGAGCGATGGAGACAGAGCGTTTTGCCTTAGGGGCCCTTCTCGCCCTAGGACCCGGGATACTCTACGGCACTGAAGAGTAAAGTGAAACTGGACTGTACTCACTTGGTTCTCCTAAGCATCGCGCCGGCGTTTTATAACTAGTCTTAATGGGGTATATTGTATTATACATGGGAGGCAGCATTGGTGTTTGAAGAAGGTATTCGAAAGGGGGGCATAGGTATATATATAGTTATAGCATATTATAAACAATGTAATTTTTAGGTTGTGGTAAATAGTGGTAAATGCAGAAAGGACCGAGGCTGGGGTAGTGGCAGAGCGATGCATACACCGAAGTAGCCATTATTGGTTTAGATACAAAGGGTTATGACCTGATAGAATTAATTTGAGCATCAAAAGTTAAGTAATATGTGGCCTATGTTCTTGAAGTAGCAACCGCAGTAAAAGGATGAATGCTACTAACCTGGGAGATACCGGATAGTGATCTAACGATTTTCATGACTAGTAGACTGGGAGCGCCAGATGGTATATCCTAGAATGTTGAATGACTACCTACCCTCTAGTTAATATCTGTCCAGTCTCATGGTCGAACGAGGCGAGTCGAAACAGGAAGCATGACTCCTGTTCTACTTGCTCTAAATCCGAAAAGGGGTCTAAAAAGGGGGTGCAGAAAACCTTAGAACGAATGGGCCAATTACACTCTAGAGGGACTCGGGGCTAGTGTTATAGTTAATTCTGTCATGAATCCTGACATTCACGTGGAATGATGAGCCTAAATGAGCCCGAGTTATCACATAGAGTTCGAGGCCATTAGCACGGCCCGTAAACTCTAAGTACTTTGTTGGCGCCATGCCCTGAACTATTTAGGAATTATTGCTACACGCTAATTACTTTCTATCGTCCTAAGTGACAGATACGACGCCGGTCAAGTCCGGTGAACAGTAGCATCCCCAACATCCTTACCATTATACCTACGCAATGGTAGCCTAGTTGTCTTGGTTGTCTTGGTTGTCTTAGTTTCCACGTGCGACTGAATCGTAACCAAATTTTGACATATTTTGAAGCCACACGGCTTAGACGCTCTGGCATTCTTGAAATATTATCCGTACAGAGTTTTTTTTTTACGCAATTGCCTTCGACTTAACTTAACCTAGTAGCTTTGGTAATCTCTAAAGTAAGTCTGCGCCACAGGACTAGTAGTATATTCGATATTCGATATTCGGAGGGAGGGTTACTTGCACCCACCTGAACATTGCAGGGCAAGGTGTGTATTTTGACTACCCGGTCAGTCGAACGCAGCATTCTCGTACCTGATGCTAGGTGGCGCTAAGATGGGGTTCCAGGAGTTCAAGCATGAGTGCATACGACTAATGTTGGCCCCATAACCCTGATGGGAACGGCTTCGACGTACCACGTGTGTCCTCAACATGATGAGACCTTGTTCATTTCACGAAGGGGCACTCGAGCTTTTACAAGAGGAACGGCTATGCCGACGATTTGCCAAGCAGGAAACAATTTGCCGCCGTCTGGAATGCTTCCCGCACCCTTAACGGGATTCCAACCTCTAATGCCATCTTGGAGTGCATACTTTACCATAGCGGTTTTATACTTCTGTTCTCGTCTGACCTTGGCACCTCCTTAAACATGTATATAAGTGCCTAGACTTCTCCCAGTGGTTGGGCTTGGTCATCTCTGTCATCCCCAGCATTCATAACAGAGCTTCCTTGCTACTCCATAACTCGTTCTCTTCTAAAGAAGCACATCTATTCCGCTTCGCTTTCTCTCATCTATGAAATATTATAGTAGTTGGCTGTCTTTTAAAGACTAAAACTATACCTTTTTATCGCCCTATTTGATTTTTATAGACTAAAATGCTTCCACGTTTAGTTCTAGCTACTTCCCTCCTATGGGCATCCAAGGCCCTCGCTGGCTACCAAGCTGGTGCATCAGACAATATCGCTATCTACTGGGGGCAGAATTCAGCTGGTGCCACCGATGCTGGCAAATCCCAGAAGTCGCTCTCCGAATACTGCACCAGGGCCGAAGTTGACATCATTCCCGTGGCCTTCGTGTCTAGCTTCAACCCCATACAGCTGGACTTGACAAATATGGCCGATGATAAGAACATGGCTGAGGAGATCACCACGTGCCAGAACGCCGGCAAGACTATATTACTATCCATCGGAGGAGCTACCTTTACTTCGGGGCCTTCGAGCCCGCAAGATGCTCAATCTCTAGCCGACCAAATTTGGGCAATGTTCGGTCCTCCTGGTAATAGCGACGGTGGTAACCGTCCTTTCGGTAACGCAGTTGTCGATGGCTTCGATCTCGATATCGAAGCCCCGCTCCCAAACATGGCACCCTTCGCTGCGCGATTACGCGAGAACATCGACAAGGCCAACGCTGGTGGCAACCGAAAATACTACCTCTCCGCGGCGCCCCAGTGCCCGTTCCCAGACTATAACAATCAGGCCATGCTGCAGGGAGACGGGGCCGTAGCCTTCGACTTCGTCATGGTACAGTTCTATAACAACCGCAAATGTGACATCCGAGTCTTCAACGGCCCCGGTTCCGATACCGTCTCAACACGGGATACAAACGACCCCATGAAGACAGGCTTTAACATGGCTCAGTGGGACGAATGGGCGCGCACAAGCAAGAACCCCAACACCAAGGTATTCCTCGGTATCCCAGGTGGCCCCACGGCCGTGACCCCGTCCGAGAAGGCGTCGTACAAGGCGCCGAATGCCTTGGGCCCCATCATCGCCTACAGCAAGCAGTTCTCGAGCTTTGGCGGGATCATGATCTGGGACATGTCTCAGGTCTGGGCCAACCCCAGCTTCCTAGACACCATCTCCAAGGATATCAAGTGCCTACCCAAGGGGAATGCTGCGCGATCTACTAGCGCTGCTGCCCAGACGACACGACGAGCGCACCAGCGAGAGTGGCAGTCATGACTGGCTTCTGTTAGATTATTTTCCATTTAATTTCGATTTTGACGGGTATAGGCGTTGGGAATTCTTGTTTAGGGACTCCCATGATGCATTCGGTAGGCTGCCCAAAAGCGATGATTCCACTAAAGATAACCTAGGGGGTCCCAGGAGTTCTCTGCTGTGCATATATTTATATTATACCTATAGGCTGGGTTAGGAGGGGAGTTTCATTCTGGCTAGGTTCGGGAGAGTTGGAATAATCCCCCATAGATACCCCCAATTACGTTCACGAGAAGCGGACGAGGTTGCATCGTGTAGTTTAATTAATTTTCTTGGTCAATACGTTGAAACCAGATTTATGTGAATGTTTTCATTTTGAAATATTTTGAACAGTTCTATCTCTCTTTTTCTGTGAGCAGAAAAGGGTAGTTCTGCATTGCCCTGTCCGTGTCCCGGTTTAAATTCCAACTCGCCTCATTTAGAAGCAGGATCCCGCCAATCATTACACTTTTCTCCTAATTCTGATTGAAGTCGTCTCGTTCTAATCCTCCGCCTCAGGATGGCACGTGTATAATTAGACTTGGTCTTGTAATTGGCCAAATTAAGTCTCCTTTCAAGTTGTATACTATCGAGTTATATAACTACTAGCAGTATAGTACAAATAAGAGGTATACATATGTTCTAGTTCTCCCGGACTTGTCAGCTATTGCCCTGTTATTGCTCTTTCCCATGTTTCCGTGACAGTCCTCCAGTACCGTTCGCCATCTGATCTCATATGCGATACGTGTGGACTACGTTCGAAGGCTTCTGTTCGTACCTCTAGTCCCTTTTCCGCAGCTTGCTTTGCATGCATTTTGACATGCCTCCAGTCAACCATGACATCAGCTGTGCCGTATATATACGAACGATTTGTCTGCTTAACCATGTCTAAGTCGTTTAAAACCCTCCAGTTTGCCGAGAGGAAATTCTCGCCAGTTATGAATCTTAGAGCGTGCAAGATCCAGAGGCACGTAACAAATGTAATGACGAACGGAGTCGCGATCAACCGGAGGAAGCCCTTTGGAAAGTTGATTATTATTACATTATAAGTAGGAGAAAAGGCAAATAATCCGGGACACGAATCGTACACTGCGACATGAAGCGGAAAGGGGCGCCCTGTCTGAGATTGGAACAGTCCATATAACGTTCGTATAGTAGCAGAGCCGCCATTCGAAAATACGTGCTAAATACGTGTTAGTACCTATGTTTGCGACGTCCTAGGTATAACTTCCTATCTCGTATAGGCACGTCCTTTAAAAGTGTGGGAACGAAATAAAAAGAAAATAAAAAGAGGTGTCTCATTTTACTGTGCCAGTGCTTTCATACATACCGTTAGGATCTCAGGTTCAGTTGGGGATGCCGACAGAAAGCCCGAATCGAGCTGGGACCGAAGGTACGTGAAAGCAGGCCCAACAGTTTTCTGTGCAAGAGAACGAGACATGGCTCCCTTGAAGACAAACTTGACCAGTATGATCATAGAGGTAGGATAAATGGCCTGGTAACGCGTGATATACTTGGCAATGTGTAAGTCTTGTGCGTCCATCCACGATGCAACGAAGATGAGCTTCGGGATTCGCAATCGGGTAGTTTGCTGCGTAACGATGGACTCGGGTTCATAGATGTATACGAAGGGAGTCAGTTCCTTCATCATCGATAGTGGTTTGACCATAGCCGTGGCCGGTTGGTTTGATGCCATCTCGTAGTTATGTACGTTGTCAAGTTATTAGATATTTGCCTGTTAATTCTTAATCCCTCATGCTATACAAGTTATAATCACGCCTTGGTTTGGTGTTTATTTATATAAGAGGTTAGTCTTTGGAAGGGATGTTTGATGCCTCCGCGGTGTTAAGACCCTTCCCTGCAGATCTGGTGATCTAGTAATCTGGGTAATTTCGGCGTAACCCTTGCTCCATTTGATCACCATTAATCGGTCATAACGGCAGTTCAAGTTGCCGACCCGCGTTTTGCCACTCTCACTTATATCTTCAACATCGAAAGAGAGTATCAACTTACGAGTAGTCATGCCAAACATAACACAGGCGCGACAGAATCTTGAAGAACGACGGTTACATGTATCCTAAAGCATACTGCAAGATACTACATAGAGACAGATAAGCGAATGCCTTGTATCTGTGCTACTTACATATCGCTTCTCTGAATTTAGTCCATGTGTACAACTCAGCCAAGCAAACTTCCAACTACCTGGCTATGACTATGACACGGTGTTTCTATAAGTCACATCTATACGGGCTCATATGCGTATAGCTTGTGATAAAGAGGCTACATGCAAATAAGTTGAAATAACTATAGCGTACCTACATCATCACTTACATTATCTATGTAGTGTATGACCTTATACGTCTGCAGTGACCCGCGTCTAGATTCCTCCTGATTTCATTGCGGTTTCCTACCTAGGTTACTTATTACATTGGTAAGGCGATGTCAAATCGCATCCTAGTTGAAGCGAACGACTATGTGTAGTGTGTACATGTACCCGGTCTAAACACATGTATGCAGGGTTAACTTTGAAGCCTCTCGGTTTCTATAAGTCTTAAGACGAACTCACTCTTAGATGACAGTCCTAACCACAACTTTAACCTCTTCCATTAACCCTATTTCCCATTTATACTTCTAGAACTACCGTACAAGCAATATTCAAAATGATGACTCTAAAGCCGCTCGCTCTGCTCGGGCTCCTAGTCCCATCTCTAGCTTCTCCTATTCTTGCCCAGCTGTCTTCGCTCAATTATACCCAAAGCCCTGCGCCTGGGGATTTTGACCACTCACTCTCCGTTCCCGGTTTCCGGTTCCGTCTTGCCAAACCACTCGCTTCAATCCCTATTGATAGAACGGTCCAAAACTACATAGACTTGAGACGCGTTCCCTACGACGTGCGCAAACCACGTCGCTCTGCGGCGACCTTGTTTGGTCAAGTCCAGCGCAGCAGCGGTGGAAAGGGGTATGAAAATGTCACAGCTATTAATCACTACGCCGCCGAGTATGCGGTACAAGCTTCATTCAACGGGCGGCAAATGGATGTTGTTATTGATTCAGGGTCTGCAGATACCTGTAAGTCAACATTAAAACCCCCCATTCACGTGTTAGGTTTTTGATCATAGCTTCATATTTAAAGGGGTCATAGGATCCAACTTCAGCTGCAAGGGAAGTCTGAATGAGACCGTATCAGATGATTTATGTGCTCTCGGCCCTGCATTCACAGGCAACTTCACTGGGGGGGCTCTACCTAATATGCACTTTGCTATTAAGTACGGGGATGGCGAAAGCGTACAGGGCCGTAAGTAGAACTCCATAAGGAATTACAACGGTGAAGTGCCATCGAAACAAGATAACGCTAATAATTTAAGATAGTATTGGGCAAAATGGTGAGTAACCTCTAATACCTACATATCGCAAAAGTGCTAGCGGAGGATATCCTATGCAAATCTAGGCTACGCGGATACACATATGGACAGGTACCCAGTGTTATCCACAGGAGTAGCCATTATCTGATTAATTTCTCATCTAGGACGTCGAATTTGCAGGAGTAACGGTTTTCGACCAGGAAATCGCAATTGCTAGTCAAGGCACATGGCACGGTTAGTATACGCCTCGTTTCTCGATAACGTTTTTTCTATAAATATTCTAACTTGAGCTTCTAGGTAATAATGTTACATCTGGTATCCTTGGGCTCGCCTACCCGTCCCTCACCAACGCTTACTGGGGAGATGACATTTACGACAATAGCCAGTTTCTCTCAGTCCAATATTCGCCCCTTTTTACATCGATGGTTACCAGTGGGTTGACCGCGCCATATTGGGCTATTGCTAGTATGCCAACTTCTCTTTTATGTTTCTTAGAAACATGCTAATATGATAGTAGTGGCTAGAAACTCGTCCCTTGGTTCCGTGAGCATCGGCGGAATGCCACCAGTGGATATTAGTAAGAGCGATCATGACCAGACCCCTATTATCATTGTAAGTAAACTCATACCCTACTAAGTTATTCCGCGAGTTGGCATGCGCATTAACCAATTAGGCGGATATGATCGACCGAGATAGTACTTCTTGGAAGCCATCTTTCTATACCATCGTACCGACAGCCTTTCGATTTGGGGGAATTACGACGGGCGGGCATTATCCGTTCATCTTAGACACTGCTACATCGTTGATCTACCTCCCACCAGGTGAATACGTTTTATTCAAATAGTTAAAGGTGTAGCTAATCTTGTGGTTAAGACCTAGCTGAAATGGTGAATGGGAAGTTCGACCCGCCTGCATCATACCTCTGGAATTACGGTGCATACTTTACAAGCTGCGATGCTATTCCCCCAGATTTTGGGGTCCAGATTGGAGGGACCACCTTCTGGGTTAATCCTAAGGATCTACTAAATAGGGAGGAGAGGGATCCTCTAACTAACCTATGCCAAACTGGAATCGGCAATGGAGGTACTGGGCCTTACATCTTGGGAATTACATTTTTGACCAACGTTGTTGCAATGATGAATATCGGATCTGGAAATATCGAGTTCTGGAGCCACCAGTTCTACTAAGATTTAAAGGAGACAGCTCTTAGGTTATATGTTTGCGAAATACAACATTAATAAGTATAAGGCGGGCGTGTTGGCTAGATTCTAACCTAGATTGTTACTCATAAATCAGGCTCGTCCGCCATCTAACTATTCCCCTTCGTCAATAAAACAGAAAGAAACCTTACGCGAGAGATAGTTACCTAACCTAGTTAGAAAGCTGTGATAGAATATTACAATGCCATATACCTTGGGTAGGTAATGTTCCGAGACGCTATGTATATTCTTGGAATAAGTGTAAGTCGACTTTAGAGGGGCTTGCTATAACCGAAATAGGGGTCCCAGGAAATAGGGGTCCCAGAAGGTCGGCACAGGATCTCCCGACATCCCTGTCGGCTTCTCTAGATCTGCTTGGCTGGGAATCTCCGTTCAGGCATTGCACGTGGTGTCGTGAATTCTGCGCGCTATCCTCACCGATAGGGACTGTCCTCGTTATCTTGAAATAGCCTCATCTTCTCTGGTCAGTTTCAGACAGTGAAAATAACCTAGCAGATCTAGTAAATTTTATTAGACGGATCAAGATTTCAAGCCAACCCAATCCTTTCTGGTTGCTTTAAGCACTACATGGTTTTCCGGAACAGTTTACGTAAATCCCGCATAGCGAGCAGACGTCGCAACGGCCAAACAGCATTGGTATTAGCGGTCAAGATAAATACCAAGGAAGCCTTAAGCGCAGGATCCCAAGGACTGTTAGGGCAGGGAGGACATCTTTATCATAGGCCGGATCTTAAGGAGGGAACCCGAACTATATAAAATTGCCACGATGAGGGGCGTCGTTGCAGGGGGCCGAAGAGGTCACGCGTCGAGTTTTTCCAAGGTGAGACGATGTGTTTTACTTCTCGACACCAACCTATTCGCTTCCTTTTACTACAACCGCCGGGGATTTATACACAATGTAGCGGATAATCAACCCCCGTGACAGTGCGGAGCGGGATCCAATCGCGATTGCGGGTTGGTTACTTGGTATGGTCCTATGGTCTGTGTGAAGAGCGGAAGTATGGCCGATTTAGTCAAAGTTGACTTATAGACTACCTATTCTTTTCTGACGTGGAAAAAACCTCGGTGGCTGCTGGGGTTAAAAGGAATTGGTGTATCGTGGCACCAACCACATGATGGGTGATTTACACCGGCAGTAATTCTTTTTGCTAGATGCAGGAGTTGTCGGTAATCTTCTCAAGCGGGAAATGAAGAAGATCATGTTTTTCGGGAGTAGTCGGTTGCGGGTGGACGGATTCTTATATTATTTTAAGTTAAGGAATAGGCAATTGGGATGTGTCTGTGTGTCTCGAATAGGAACGAAAAGAGATGTGGAAATTTAATACCAAAGTTGGTTTAATAATAATAGTTTGGTTGATGATGGCTAGGCAAGTGTACCTAGGCTGTAAATCCGTAGCTGAAAAGCTACCTTAGGTACCTAACCTAGGTACCTATCTAAAACTCTAAAAGAACAGGGTCCAGCTCGGCTCATATTAATTTCTGATTGGTTCTCTCGGCTTTCTCCATTGGTCCTTTTGCCCCGCATCGATACAAAGCGGGTTCTCCATTAGAATGCGGGGCCCTATTGCCGACTTTTTATATTTTTCTTGAGCTACCCCAGCTGCCTTGTGTTGCGCTGTAGGTAGCTGCCTGTCTGTTGTACATAGACCCTGTCGCTGGTTCCTGAGAATCCCGGTGTTACACCCAATCATGTCTTAGTAGTGACGGAATCTCCTGCATCACCGCAACTTTCCTTCTCATCCACGAATCCAGCCCATCGTCTTCTTTCTTCTGGATACAACACTGCACACCACGCCACCACGCATAGCTTTTTCACTACTTGGTTACCAAAAATATTAGAAGAAGAAGAAGAAGAAGAAGAAAAAAAAAGAAAAAGAAGAATACCAACGTGATATAGTCTCTTCTTTACTGGTCGTCTTTCTTAACAACCTGATCAGAATCCATAATCTCATCTCATCTCATCTCGTCCAATTCCTTTTTTCCGATTTCCAAATTTGCCTTTCTTGTCCACCCTTGTTGTACTTTCTGTACTCTCTATTACCTATTGCCTCACATGCTCCCGTTGCTTACGCCTACAATTAAAACCTCGCTACATCGGAAAGTTGGAAATCATGGCACCAGGCACTAACGGTCGTGTCGTCCAGGTCGAGGACACCAAGATCTGCGTTGTCATGGTTGGCTTGCCTGCACGAGGGAAGAGTTACATAGCACAGAAAGGTACTACATTTATCTTAGCCACACGCCAATCCAAACCCTCCCCTCCCTCTTCCTCTTCGAACCAGCTATTGTAAAACCTTAGAGGGCTGACTTGTCTTACTCGTTCTGAAGCCCAGCGTTACCTCCAATGGCTCTCTATCGATGCCAAGACATTCAACGTTGGTAACTACCGACGTCATGACGCTCCTCAACCGCCAGCCGATTTCTTCGCTACTAGCAATCTCGATGGAGAACGCAGACGTCGCGTCGCCGCCGAGGCCGCTATTGCCGACATGCTAAGCTGGTTTCGCCAAGGCGGTGTGATTGGTATCCTCGATGCTACCAATTCCACCAAGGAACGTAGGAAATGGGTCTACGACTTATGTACTAAGGAGGGTATCGAAGTCTTGTTCGTTGAATCCAAGTGTGATAACGAGGACCTCATCATGGCCAACATTCGAGACGTCAAGACTACCAGTCCTGATTACAAGGGCCAGGACCCTGAGAAAGCCGCTTTAGATTTCCGCAATCGCATAAAGAACTACGAGAAGGCATATAAAAGCATTGATGCCGACGGTGACGAGAATGAATATACCTACCTCAAGATTATGGATGTTGGGTCTCAGGTTATTATCAACCGTATACAAGATTACCTACAGAGTCGGGTAGTCTACTACCTAATGAACTTGCACATCCGGCCGAGATCAGTGTGGCTCTCGAGGCATGGAGAATCATTGTACAATCTCTATGGGCGAATCGGTGGCGATGCGGATCTGTCTCCGCGAGGACATCAATATGCTAAGAAGCTGCCTGAACTCGTTCGTCAGTCCGTCGGTGTAAGTTTATATCTAACCCAAAAGCTTTTGTTGGATACCAAGTCTTACATGGTTTGATAGGGTGACCGCCCCCTCACGGTATGGACCTCGACCCTGAAGCGCACTATACAAACAGCTCGTTTTCTACCCGAGAATTACAACCAATTGCAGTGGAAAGCATTGGACGAGCTCGATGCGGGTGTCTGTGATGGTATGACGTATCAGGAGATCAAGGACGTTTACCCGGAGGATTTCGTGGCGCGCGACGAAGACAAATATAATTACCGCTACCGCGGTGGTGAGTCTTACCGCGACGTTGTGATCCGTCTTGAACCTATTATAATGGAGCTTGAACGATCCGAGGATATCCTAATTGTTACCCACCAAGCCATATTGCGCTGTATATATGCATACTTCATGAAGAAGGACCAGTCTCACAGTCCCTGGATGAACGTCCCACTCCACTGTCTCATCAAACTCACCCCACGTGCCTATGGTACCGATGAGGAAAGATACCATGCCGATATACCTGCTGTTAGCACGTGGCGAGGCAAGGGGAGCACCGCTAAGCACGAAGATCCCGTCCCGGAGTCGAATTTGGGTTACACTCCGACAGCGGCAGTCCACTAAGAATTTGCCTCGATGATTTTCGGTATTATGACTGACGAAAATAAGATAGGTAGGGTAGAGCAGGACAACTACTACTACTAGATGATCCGGCGAATTGGTTCAGAGGGGCGCATTAACGGATGAATACATTGTTACGGTTCTTGTTTTGGTAATCGGCTTTGTGGATAAAAAGGAACCGCCGCATATTAATATACATAGAGTGGGGTGGGCTGCTTGCATGAAATACATGTCCGATGTTGTAAATATTTACAGACCTTTTTATATATCCCATGGGCACTAACCTAGATCATTAATACCGGTCAGAAATGGGTTAATGATGACTCCACTTCTTCATTCCTTAGGGGTGTACATAAAGCTATGTCCTAAGGGGAATACGTATCTACCTGAGGTATATAAATGGGATTATCCTGCATTAAAATTGCATGCACTCTATTTCACTGTTACAGCATCTGTATCACGCAATAAGAACTAAAATGCTCGAGTGAAGTAAGTTCCGATTGCTTGAGAGGCTGGACGTTAGTATTTTGGATACTACGTCAACCTCTTCTCTATCTTAAATTACTTCATTGCTCTTTATACACACCTATGCCTCTAACACCATCAGATGTGAGAGATACAAGAAATATACATCCCCACGCCGCAACCCCAGTGAAACTTGCCAACATGATTTCACTTGATTAATCAAGCACTAATTACTTCCTGGTAACTAACAGACGTTGTAGGTGGGTAGACTACCGCCCTGGTAGATGAAGCCGGCCTCCCACTGTGGCTCGTCTGGGCTGATGAGGGTGCCGGCCTGGCCGCCGGATACACATAGGGATTCAGCTGAGGCGAGCTGGCTGCCGACGAAGTTGGTGTCGGTCGATAGTTGTTGGCATAAGGCGCAAAAGAAGCCCCAACACGTTCCGTATTGAAACAATAGGCACGCGTTGGATGCCACTATGAGGGGTTGGTCTAGTGCAAACACCTCGTCGATCACATTATTGCAGTCGCTATCACCAGGTGGGGGGTTCTATGGACGAAGGACGAAATTTTAGTAAAGGAATGGGCGTAACTAAGACAAGACGGGTGGATGAAAGACTTGAGCTTCGACGTGGTCGACACAACTACTAGGAAAGGGGGGACATAAGGTGAGGGACATACCGAGTTCCTGCATTCATAAAAGTCACCAGCGGTGGATTGACGCGACGACAGGACCGAGCTGGTGGGAACTTGCTTCAAGTTCCCCTTATCGAGATGTAGCGACGGCTGGATGGTCTCAATTTCATACACGGGCTGTGGCCGGTGGGCTTCTTTTTGGACATGGTTAAACCCATCTACCGCAGAGGCGGCGAAACCGGCAATCAGAGTAAAGAAGCTTGACTTCATGGTGGCAGAAGTTTGTTTGAATTGCGTGATGAGGAGTGATCGACAGAGGCTGATATTCTCCGGGAATGGTGCATCATCTTTCCTGACCAGAAGACTATACGCATACTTTTTATACTACTTCCCCCACGCACATATCATACGCTTGGCTTGCAGAAAGACGGCAAACAGATAGGACTACATTCCGACGTACGGTAACCTTGAGCCCTAGGACCTGCCGGATGAGGCATTGGACGTTTTCGCCTCGGTGGGCAGATGATAGTTCGCGGTCTCGACCTGATCGCAGCTCAGCTCGTGGCCGGTCTAGAAACTGGCCATTATGTCCATGACCATGCTTCTTCACGGCTCTCCCTAGGCGATGGATGTGCCGGCCCTACCAGTCTAAATCCTGCCGTGACCTAAGCCTCGCAACCCCCCAGCATCGACCAATGATTTCCAACTTTCTCAGCAGCTTGTAAGGCGCCGGGCTCCACCTCAGCCGTGGCCATCACATCCCCATAGCATATCCTTGCGGAACTCCACCAGAGAATACACCAGAAGGCCGGACGAGTCCGAGTCTCGGCCGCGTGATACGACATGATCCAAGTGATATCTTGAGCTTACAATCACCTCACAGCTACCATATTGAGATGCCTCCTCGCAATGGTGTCACATCACATTGCAACGTGGTACCCACGCCCAAGTCCAATAAGACCAGGACACGGGAGACGGACATGGAAGAAGAGGGTAGTAGTTCGGCCGATGATGATGAGCCTAGCGTGCCACGAGTACGAGAGTAATGTTGAGGCGGAGAAGGGCAGTGAATAGGGGTCAGTGAAAGATCTTAATGAGGGGACGGTCCATCATATCTGCAGAAATGGAATCTACGAGGACAACATTTCCCGGCAGTACGAATGCATATAATACCTACGGAATAGTCCGTCACTGGGACTCCCCCTCAAGCAACCTGGGTAGCGGATATACTTCCCCATAGTATAATATCTACTAATCTATCTGGTAGAGATGACCAAGCATCTGGGGTACTGAACCCTCAATCTATCTCAGCCGGGTCATGAGATATAGGATTGTAAGCTGAACTGGTGCCGAGAATCTAATTTTGAATAAACCGACGATGCCACGACCAGGATGCCGGGGGAAGGCAGCTCTGAGAATCGATAGGAAAGGCGCGTGAGCGGGCAGTATGGGGGGTTGACTCGCGAGCCAGAACGATGAAGAACTATGTCGACTTTATCCGCGGATTTATCCAGTGCAACGGTATGCAAGCTGTAATGCACCTCAACCCACAACCCACAACCCTCGCGTTCGAGAAAGGGCGTCAAGGCAATAAGCGACGGAGTAGGGACAAGTACCCGGCAGCCTGGAAGGACCTAGTAGGTAGTAATATCGAGAGCGAGGGCCGGTAGTGTTTTTCATTTACAACACGTTTGTAATAACAGCTGCCGCATCAGCATTGGTAGAGAGCCAAGGACGGAAGACGCGGCCTGGGGGGTACAAGATATACGAGGTGTAATGGTAGATTGTAGTATTAACATTTGTTTATAATAGACCGAGGCGTTAGAGAATCCAAATAGAAGAAGGGAGGCCATCGTGAGCCAACCCAGATTGATCTCTGCATAATATAAGCCAATGTTTCTTATTTCTTTTCGAGAATATGATAAACTATGATTATAAGGGAGATGAGAATATGTATCCATTTCTTGAAATATTATTATTTCGTGGTTCGTGGACGATTTATCATGAATCTATATTGCTAATAATAAGATGGATGGAAATACCGAATATGAGGTTGTTGAAGTACTAAGTCGAGATCAGATTCTAGCCCATAGGTACCTACCTACCTACATTAGGTACATATCCGATGTAATACATAATACGTAGAGAGGCTTATGTGCACGGGCCACGATAGAGCCATGCTATGTAGAGCCATGCTATTCAGACTAATAGACCCACTTCTGCTTATCAGAATATGTTTTAATCGATAAGCAAAAAAAATTCCCTGAGCAAGTGGAACAACAGGTAAAAGTACCTAAGACAGCCCACTTCTCAAGCAACATTTATATACCTAACCAACAATCAATACAATCCATCGCAACATTTTCTCAGGAACTACTTAGGAACTACTCAGGAACTATGGAGTCAACCAAGTACGCCAAAAAGAGAAAGCTCAAGGACGCCAATGGCTCCAAAAGCGCCGAGTCAAAGTCAAAGGCGCTTCCCGTCAAGGCACCCAAATCCAAGAAGCTAAAGCGAGCTGCACCCGAGATTGCGGCTGAATCCTCAAACGACGACTCTGAAGCTGAAGATGACGTTCAAGAGCAAGATTCGGATGACAGTGAGAAAGAGGATGGCCAGGGCGAGGAAGAAACAGAAGAAGAGGATGCGAAAGAAACCTCTGAATTGAATAAGAGAGTGGAAGCGGCGAATGCTGAGGACGAGGACGATGGTCAAAATCCTCAAAACACAGATTTGCCCGTCGATAGCGCCATCGCCGCCCTCCAGACCGCGATCGGCTCCGATGCGCAAAACTTCGCCGACTTAAACTTGTCAGAAAAGACCACCAAGGCTATCAAGGAAGATATGGGCTTTGAAAAGATGACAACGATTCAACGGAAGGCAATCCCACCTTTACTAGCTGGCCGTGACGTGCTCGGTGCTGCAAAGACGGGTAGCGGAAAGACTTTGGCCTTCTTAATCCCAGCCGTGGAAATGCTGAGCGCACTGCGATTCAAGCCGCGAAACGGAGCCGGTGTTGTCGTCGTCTCTCCTACAAGAGAGTTAGCCCTGCAGATTTTTGGCGTTGCCCGCGAATTGATGGCGCATCACTCCCAGACATATGGCATAGTTATTGGGGGCGCAAACCGCAGGGCAGAGGCCGAAAAGCTATCCAAGGGAGTGAATCTCATAATTGCGACACCCGGGCGACTCCTAGATCATCTACAAAATACCCCTTTTGTCTTCAAGAACCTAAAGTCTCTGATTATAGACGAGGCCGATCGTATATTGGAAATAGGATTCGAAGATGAAATGCGTCAAATCATCAAGATCCTACCCAGCGAAGGCAGGCAGACCATGCTCTTCTCCGCGACGCAGACGACTAAGGTTGAAGATCTCGCCAGGATTTCTCTTCGACCGGGTCCCCTCTACATTAACGTCGATGAAGAGAGTACTAACTCTACCGTTGCGGGTCTTGAGCAAGGATATGTTACCTGTGAAGCTGATAAGCGATTCCTTCTTCTTTTCTCGTTTCTGAAGCGGAACCTGAAGAAGAAGGTTATCGTGTTTTTCTCCAGCTGTGCAAGTGTCAATTACTATGCCGAACTTCTAAATTATATTGATTTGTAAGTCCTCCATTCCCAGTGCCGCCGCGCCTCGATCCGTTAATAGATCACTAATAATATTTGGCAGGCCCTGTCTGTCCCTCCACGGCAAGCAGAAGCAACAGAAGCGGACAAACACGTTCTTTGAGTTCTGCAACGCCAAGACGGGTATCCTTCTATGTACGGACGTTGCCGCCCGTGGTCTAGATGCAAGTAGTCGAAGCGAATCTCGCAGCAGCATGTCACTAACTAGAGAATAGATTCCAGCAGTTGACTATATAGTTCAATTCGATCCTCCCGATGATCCCCGCGACTACATCCATCGAGTTGGTCGGACCGCACGTGGCGCAAATTCCAAAGGTCGCAGTCTCCTCTTCTTGCAACCCCATGAACTTGGCTTTTTGTCTCACTTGAAAGAGGCTCGCGTGCCTGTGCTCGAGTACGAATTCCCGGCGAAGAAGATTCTGAACGTCTCTTCGCAACTCGAAAAACTCATCTCGCAGAACTACTATCTCAACCAGAGCGCCAAAGATGGTTACCGGTCATATCTGCACGCTTACGCAAGCCATAGCTTGCGTTCTGTTTTTGATATAAACAAGTTGGACTTGACAAAGGTCGCCAAAAGTTTCGGCTTCTCTACGCCCCCGCGAATCGACCTCACGTTAGGCGCGAGTATGAGCAGGGATAAAAAGGTGCAAGGAAGGAGGGCATATGGCAGCCAGCCAAGGCAAACCCAGAAGTTCAAGAGGCGATAGTATTGGTCTGGGAATTCATAGCTGTGGAGTTTCGGTTGGGCTTTGATAATATACCAGTTTCTGTTACTTAAATCCTTCTTGCGGAGATAGACGGTATGGTAATGCAAGGTTGGATGCGGCCACTACTGGTGGAAGCTATATCGGCAAGATTGAAGATAGCATGCAGCACTTACATACGGTGCTATCACCTATCACCGAGACACGGTGATGTAGTATCACGAATGCGCCGTAGCGAGTCTACCAGTATTTGGTGAGGTCTGAGTTTACTCGGTTACAGCCTATGTATTCACGAATACCAACATCTCATACGAACCGTAACGCATATGGTATTATATATTCTATTTCGTTAGACCCTCGATGCCACACTATCAAATATCTTATTTAGTAGCGCGTGATTGACAGAACTCGGCGACCTGTACGCCCCAAGCCTCCTCCTTCTCAATACCCGTACTCAGGCCTAACTGAGGGCTAATATGATTGTGCCCGCCGAGGACATCGTAAGTGATATCAGCTTTCGTCCACTCCTTTTTGAATTGCTGCGCCGACTCATACATAAGCTCGGGGTCCAGTTCGCTGACGAGGACGCTGATCTTGACACCGGGTAGGACCGGCTCGGTGTCCCTTTTTTTCTCCTTCTCCAGAATACCAAGGGACGAGTTCTCCCAGATCTTGCCCTTCCCTAAGTATGCCTGCAGGATTGCGTTGTCGTCACCGCCCCAATGGAACGGTACGCCGAGCAATATCACGCCCCTGAGTAGCACGCCCGGGCCCTCCCGCTCCTCGGATACAACTGCCTCCCTGGACTCTTTGAACTCAGGGTCTAGGAGGTATGTCGTAACGTGGATGCCTCCGGCAGAATTACCCAGTAGAAACAAGTCAATGGATTCATACCCCTCCTGCTTCGTCAACTCCTTCGCGACCCAGTCGATGACAAGCTTAATATCCTCGCCGCCGGAGGGATACTTGGCGCCGTGAGAAATGAGACGGTAGTCCGGGACGATAACAGTAAAGCCATAGCGGGAAGCGAAGAAGTGGCCCACATTCTTGAACACCAGTCCATGGGCATACTCTTCGTTTATCTTACTGCCGCCTATGAACCCGCCTCCGTATAGGAAGATGAACACGGGCTTCGCGCGGAACTGTGGGGCCGCTCTACCTTGTTCCGGGTAGTAGACGTCGAGCTGCTGTCGTGGAGTGCTCCCATACTTATGCGTCTCGCGTCGCGTAGACTTGATCTCGGTCTCCTTCGCGAGGACGAGTGGCGCGTAAGCTGCAAAAGTAGGTAGCAGTAGATCATTGATTCCGCGCCCGAGCGGTCTCAGCTTGTCCATTATGTATGCTACGCGTACGAGGCGGTATACGTGCGAGGTAGTATACCTGAGCTAACTAACTACTGCGAAGTGTGGTGGTTTTTCAGGGTCCAACAGATTAGAAAGATGGTTGGTGGAGAGGTTTAAGACGACGGCCCCAGTTCAGATCGAATGGATAATACCGATTCTCTACCGTAGTATTCAATAAATTATTTGCATATGGATGCGGGGAATGGCATGCAGCTCATAAACCCATAAACCCGGCACCAGCATCGTCATCCCTCCATTGATCCTAGCGAGATGGGAAGTTGGACGTTGTCGTACGGCGAGTTTCGGCATTTCTGTCCTCCAGTCCTACAGTCCTATAGAATATAGAAGATAGAAGCCAAGACAAATAGTTACCGAGCGGACTAGGCTTGATTCTACTATTATTATTAGATCACGTTATACCCCTTTTGTTTGCTGTCGGTGTCAGAATTGGAGATGACTCGTAATTAATAGTTAAAGCAAACTCTAGTTCTATTTACTATAACTAACTAACTAACTAACTAACTAACTAACTAACTAACTAACAGGTAACTAGTAAGTATATAGATAAACCTATTACAATTTCTGCCCGGCGGTATCATGCACTGTTCTTGAAGGCAGAGCTTTGAATCAGAACTTGAGCGCCCATCCGGGTATTGACACCGTTTCCGATCAGTGAATCCCAGAATGTGTTGACGATGTGCACGGTTGCGAAGCGGATGAGCGGTGCCCGACTATACGTGTTGAAGAAGTAGTTGCCGGCGTAAGTGACGTGAAGGGCGCCTTGATCCTCCGCGGCGTTGCCGTCCGAGTGCCCGATCAACGACGCCTTCCAATGGTCGTGCATGTATGTGTTGGACACTGTAACCCACTCAGATCCGTGCGAGATATCGAGGAGTCCGTCGAGATCGTCCTTGATCGTCCTTGCCGAGGTTTAGGTCACCGGACAGGTCGCAATGGTCGACCCAGACATTTGATGATGCATCGATACCGATTGCCTCGCCGTTCTCGGCCAGGACCTTAGAGATCTTCATGTTACGGACAATAACATTGTTAACTTTGCGGATGTATAGACCGACTCCGGTGAGAGAACTGCCCTTCTCTCCGTAGATGGTCTTGTCGGCGGAGACGCGTACTTTGGCGGAACCGGAAATGGCGCCAGAGTCGACCATACCCCTTTTATATTATGTCTAGTCTTGGCGGACACTATTCTTTCGAATAACCAGGTAAAAAGGAGGTGATCACAAGCCAAAAGAAACGGTATACAGATAGGTATAGCAATGGCGATTATAATTGGTAATGCCAACTCAACACTATTTATCACCACCTTAACTCATACGTATAATAGATGTTTTACCAAAAAATAGTATTCAACGCCGCGCAATAAGTATAGAATTAACTCTGTCCGGCTCTAATGTCCGGCCAGCCAAGCGACCAGCCAAGCAGCAATGATACACCATCTCTTGTATACACAATCAGCGCTCCGTGGCTACTGCATATCGACCGGAAGAAATATTCAAGGCCTTGTTTCACCAACAGTGCCAGAAACCCAACTACACCGAACTGATTAGAATACGGCTCCTGGGCAAAGATATAGCATAACCAAGAAGAAGATGCCTAACTAAGGCTGACTTACCGTTTCCACATCTTGCCTACAGACCCGGTGTTGTACTGATCTGATATGCTCTCGCGTCTTTTGATGGCCTCCTTATCTGTGGGTCTCTTTTGATCGTAGAGGTTATTGAAATCGGGACCGGAGAACTGGGTAGTTGTTGTTAGCTAGAAGCCATCGAAATCCTAGAGTATTATATGATCTAGTACGATACTTGGATACAGAAAGACGTCAACTCACAGAGCCGGAACTGGTGTTTCTACCACCTTGCTGACTGGCCTTCCCGCCTTCGGGCTGTGCGGTACCCCGGTTGCTCATGTTGATTGAATATATATAGATATACTATAGATGCTGGTGGCTAGTAAATTATCTCAATATGATAAAATGTGACAAGATTTATTATTCATGCTAACATAGAAGTCAGCTCAAGCACTCAAGAGAACGATTATATAAGATTCCAGAGAAAGAAGCGGATCTCTCAACTACTGGATAAGCCTCAATGAATGATGAGGGTTGACGTACTCGGTACCGTGACAAAAAGCATAATCTCATTGAGGAATAACGGTGACGAAGTGGTGAAGTCACCGATCATAACGCAACCAGCCATGTGGCCGTACATAGAGGAGTCCGAGTCAAGCATGCCCACAAAGAAGGATAGCTACGATGGCGAGGAAGGGGTTTGGAAGGGGGATCGAATAATAAAGCTTAAAGACCTAGTCTAGCCTATGTAGTTGTTATATTCTTGGCCTAGCAAGAAAGCCAAGATCCGGTTGTATTAATTCTGTTAGACTCTAACCCCCTAATCAGCCCCTTTAACCAACGCCCAACACTTCCTCATGCCCGTCCCCATCGATTCCGCATCAATAGCCTCGACATCTCTCCACCGACGCCGCGTACCTTCATCCTCTTTGGGTTTCTCTTCATTACCAAACTCACCCTCACTCTCACTTTCACCCTCACCCTCACCCACAAGTTCAAACAGATGAACATGCATCGTCAACTTCAAATGTGAAAACAGCCACGGTACGGACCCCAACTCATCTACATGCTTCACCACGACCTTTCTCTTCCTTGCCTTCCCACTCTCACTAATCAACCCCTGAACAAACTTCTCCGCATCCCTCTTCCTGGCCTTTGCCGACCCTCCTTGCCGATCCTTCACAATATAACTTGGCAGCTCCCACAACCCGGCCAAGAGTCCCTTCTCAGGCCTCTTATGAATTAGATACCGACCATCGCTGCGCCGGATAGCGCAGACTAGAGTTTCCTCTTCGCGCACTGCTTTCTTGACCGTCTTTAGTGGGAACTTTCTCGCGTGGCTTACGATCGCTTCTACTGCGGCACTACTGAGAATCGGAGATGGCAGCGGCTTAGGACTGGATGCCATTTCCCGTTTGGACGTGACTTGTGTGAATGCGAACGATCGTAACGTAGTCTGTGTGCGAGACCTGGATTTCTGCTGCTTGGGCCCTTCCTCCGTCTTTACGCCCTGCTCATTATCGGCGTCTTCCTCCGCATACTCCTTAAACGGCTTGCAAATAATGCAAGCGTCTTCAATATCAAGAGTAGCATTACTCGGCGTCGTAGGCTTTGATATTAAACCCCTTTTAGTAGCTAACCGAATACCCTCATCGTACGCGCGACAGCTCGATGTAATGGGACATACTGCGCAGTTGGGCTTTGGTGCGCATATCGTGCTGCCAAGTTCCATCAACGCTTGGCCCCAGCGACCAGGCCTATTACTTGGTGTCGCTTCCCTGTTTTCCTCCCTCTTAGTAGTAGCATCGGGATCAACATTATCCCCATCTTCTGCATCATCTCCTGCAATGGCCTTAACCAGACTATCAGCCGCAGCCCACAGCAGCTCAATAACTGCCTTATCCGCCTTAACATCCCCAAATACGCCAAGTTGCCGACTGAGCACACGCAGCACGTTCCCATCCACCATCGGCGCTGCCCTCCCAAAGACAATCGCTGAGATGGCCCCTGCTGTGTACCTCCCAACGCCAGGCACTTTTGCAACCAGCTCGCCCACATCTGCCGGCAACAAGCCCTTCATACTAGAATCCTTACACACGATTCTCGCCGCGTCGTGGATTCTCGTCGCACGGCTGTAGTATCCGAGCCCGCGCCAGGCCGAAAGCACCTCGTCCTGCTCCGCGGCAGCTAAGTCCTGAATCGTGGGCCATCGTTCCATCCAACGGTTCCAGTAGTCGACGACGGTGGCAACGCGCGTCTGCTGGAGCATTATCTCGCTGATCCAGACCTGGTACGCGCGACGCTCGACTTCCTTGAGAGTAGTGGCACTTGGGTCCGTCCAGGGTTTGCGCCAGGGCATCTCGCGTGAAGAGCTCACGCCATCGAACCAGGTGAGTAGAGAAGTGCGAGCCTGACGGCTGTCTAGGAGCAAAGGACGGTGATAACATAGTCCGTGGGCACGACTAAGAAGGTTAATACAAGTACCTTCCGTAGTGGAACCGTTTAGGGCCATGTTCGCTTTGCCGAAGAGGCACGCATACAGCTGAGCGGTAGCATCTCCGCTCTTTTTACTAGCACGCGCCCCTACTTTTTGCCTCTTGATACGTGGTGCTTCTTCTGGGCTATCTTCAACGAATTCTTCATCGCTCTGATGCTGGGCGCTCCTCTTCCTAATCCTTGTTTTTCGGGAAGGACTATTAGTTTTTAGCAGCTCTTCATCTTTTATGACAGATAATAATTCTGTTGTATTAGCCTCGTCCGCTAATATTGAGACTGACTGTCGCGTACTTCGTAATGAGCGCCCCATAGTGTGAAGCGTATAGGTGATTTTTTATTTGAATAAAATGAGTCGCGACACGTTAAGAGATACAACCGCGTCGTCACGTGATGTCTATCATTCATATATAATATATATTATCATACATCATATATCATATATCAATTCAGGGGTTTAAAGCCAGAACAGATAAATGTCGTATTTTGTTCCAGTTATATAGAGTAAGATATGCTGTCGCGCATCTATCTTTTTAAATATTTGCTCCTATCTTGGCTTATTTCTCTATATTTCCTACCCATCTAAATCATATTTTCCCCACCCATATCTGTTCCGGCTAATTTGGGCGTATTCGCTCTTATTTAAGCGGTTCATGGGAAACGCTTCCTTGCTTTTTTTCGTTATGCTGATCTTGATTGAATATTTAGCTTAAAACCCTGCTCTACTCGTATGGCTACCTTGTCTTAAATAATGATGAGCTAATTGATGTGTTAGCAGTTTATTCTTTAGGTATGCTCTCTGCATGTTGAGCTGGGGACATCACAAACCTCAATTAACTTCTCAGTCAATATAGCACATTGCTTGTCCGGATCTTGAGCATAAGTGAAGGAGCTCGAGCGATAAAGCCCTTCGAATCCCAAATCTTCCAAGATGTCATTTAGTATACCGGTGCTTTCTAGCGCACTCGTAAACTTTGGGTTGGAGGACAGCGTCTGAAGCAGAGCGTGCGCTGATCCAAGTGTCGAAGAGTTTTGACCATGGAGCAGCACCTCGTCCAGAAATGATGCAATGGTTGGGCATCTACACTATGTTAGTAACTTATAATACGCAACGGCTAATTGAACTCACAGATGCAATACAACAGTAGGTCTTCCGGTCGCTAGGTCATTAAGCCATGCTAGAGTATGGGTCTGTATCGCCTCATCTAAGATCTGGAAATCGACCAACTCGATAGCCGTGCTTAATAAAAGGTCTTTGTCCTTTACGCTATCTAGGTCGTGCAGGTTGCGAGTCGGCCCTAAATTAGCAACGTTTAATGGGTTGATACCGGCCGACCAGAGGCATTCCTTTAAATCCTCAGGGGTAATTGCCCGGGCATGAATGAGAGCCAGATATGGTGACGCGTAGAATTCGGTTGTAAAGGTCTTTGATGAATCCTCGGAGCTGCCTGTTGTCATCTCGAGGAAGGTTGAGAGAACCCGGAGTGCTGTAGTTCTAGTGATAGGATCCGTAAGCCCTCGCGCGAGACAGGCGCAGACGGCGAAATGGAAACTGTCTGCCGTGAAATGTATTCCGTACGCTTCATCTAGGGATATCGCCGCTTCTTCCAATGTTGCTCGGCCTTGTAAGAGATATTGTGCCATTTTATTATTCCTTAATTCACTTGTTGTCCCGATATTTGCCAAAACAGCTTCTAGGAATAAGGCAGCACAGTTGAACAGACTAGCAGGTACAAGACGGACAAGTGACATCGCCAACCAGAACAGTTGCGGACCATACCGAGAGGCTGCAGTAAGCTTCGCGATCATCTTAGATAACGATGTGACTATAGCAACGAGCATGTCGCTGCCGTTGTCTTCACCAAAGCGGCCGACACTGTTGCGGAGTGCTACGAGGACTTGGTAGAGTAAGTCATCATCAACCTCTTCGCGAGCCAAACATCCCATTACGGTGAATGCTCGGGGCTGAATTGCTGGGTTATTTTGAAAGGCAGTGCTGGCTACCAAACTCATCCATCTTGACCGCCAAGCGTTAGCCATATCAACAGATGGTGCTGCAACAGAACACGTCTCAAAGAGTAGGGTAGCTAGGTTCTCTATAACCGCAAGCGTCGGCCCGGCCTCGTGAGACGTTGAGATAGAGGCTCCATCCTTGGTTAAGACCAAGGGAACGGAGAGACTGTCATTTCTTGGTTCGGACAAGATCTCAAGGGTACCCCGGAGTTTCGATAGCTTCGTATCCTCTAGCTGGAACGAGGTGCAAGCTGCATGAATTGAATTGATTAGCAGTCGGTGGACTAGCGCTCGAATATCGTGAGTGCCAGTGTTTGACAGCATAGTGACTATATGGAATATTTCAGGTAAGTAGATCTGCGACTGAACGCCACAGTCGAAGGAAAGGGAGAGGCAAAATTGGAGTAGAATGCAAAGCTCATTCCAAACGGAGTTATCGGGGAGATATTTCGTAGGTCGAAGCGAGGATCTGTTCAGCGCCTTCCGAAGCCTGGATATTATCTTTCCACGAAGCGTTATTGTGCCAATAGCTGTCACTATTGACGTTAAAGCTTGCGTGTGCTCATCATATAGCCCCACGGCCAGCGCTGCCTTGACAATCTCGTCAAGAAAGATGTCTAACAAGACTTCATCCTTGTGAATTGCCGGCCAAGCTGTGTATTCCAAAATTAGACCTAATGAAGGCTCCATAACCGTCACATCTATCAACTTGCGGAAGATTGAAGCGACCTTTTCTTTGGCCTTCTCGCTGTCAGACTCGTCCGGTAAGAGTGATGTACGCAGGCTTGGTATCCAGGGCGCCATGTAAGCCAGGCTCAAAGGTTTCTGCTCATCGGAGAAGCTTTCCCATCCGACAAAGAATTCATTCAAAAAGTCGCCTGTTAGCTGAGGTTCTTCTTTGGCAAGGACTTTGCTGACGTTGACGATGAATTGAGTAGGGTCTAGAGGAACGGAGACATCTGCGTATTGTGGTTAGTGAAGATGGCAAGAGAATTTTGGAGAGGGCCTTACCTTTGGTGCACATGAACATAGAGGCTGCCTTGAACTTAAAAGCTCGACATAGCGCGCCGAGTAGATTATACGATGCAATCCGGAGCATCGCATCCGGAGAAGCAAGATTTGTCAACGCAAGGTTTAGCAATGTTCCAGGGACATCTTGAGGTCGGATGAGACGCTCGAACGGTTTTATCGTCCTGGCATCTTTACTCAACATTGCCTTTGCTCTGCGGATTTCCTTCAAGACGTCGGCCTTCCTGCCACTTTGGAAGTACATCACAATTTTGCCATTGTCTGCACGCAACCCAAACGCAGAGTCATCCTCGGTAGGAATAGAAGTTGGCGCCTCATCTAGATCCTTGAGGTGGAAAATATCGTTCACAATTCCGTTTAGACGAAAAGTTGGATGAACCTCCTGTTTCTTCACGGTGGTTACTTGGACAAACGAGCCACCGACCCCAATTGTGACTTCAATCTTTCCTTTAGTCTTCGAGAGCCGAGTGACCGGCTGGAAAGTGTATCGAGAATCGGTGGCTATGCTGATGGTCTCCTTCGGAAGGTGAACTTGACTAAGGTGGAAATGTGCCTGCAGATCTTGACGGCTGCCAAGTAGTAGATATTCCACGTTGCCTGGATTTAAGACATTCGCATCACTCTTCGTGGCTATACGAAGTATACGCCGGAAGCATTTCCTAATTTCGTTAGCACGCGGAATACGCGATAGTGTAATATCAACATACCGGAATGTGCTGTTCATATTATAGACATAAATCCTAGAAAGTTGCTCAGACAATTCACTAGGACTAAGAAGATCCAACTTTTTGAACAGCTCGTCCGGGGGGTCATTTTGACCATCATAACACGTCGCATCGATTAATAACCCGAATGGCTTATGCCATAGCCGGCTCGCAATCTATGATAGGTTAGACAAGGGGAAGAGTTAGAGAAACCGATACGCGGGAGAAATTTGTTTACTAGAGCCGAACGCATCGATTTGATTAGAACTTACTTTTAGGAAGCAATACAAAAGGGTATCATAATCTATGGAATCTTGATCGATATGGCGAAGAATTATACAAATAACAGAGAGCCCATCCTGTTAGTCGTTAGCCTTAAGCAAGTACTAAATAGGTTCTGTCAGTCACGATATACGTACTCTACTCTCGCCGCCGTCATAGATAGCACGAGATGTCGCAAAGGAATCGGTACCCCGGAAAGCGTTACGAAGCATAAAATGCTGAAACCTAGAGTAAGATAGTGGAGTATTCGAAGATATTTGAGGGCGGTTCCAAGTAACCGCTAACGGAGGTGGCCCCAAATTTGTTACGAGAACCCGTAAGGGTTCAAGTACGGGTGTTCGACCACGAACTAACTCGTTAGGAGAGCGAACGTGCTCTCGTCGTTCCTGAGACATGAGTCTTTGCCGGACATGGTCCCAGTGGTCATATAAAAACCTATGTAGAGCGACACAGGAGCCAAACTCATAGGTTTCACCGTCTGCTGGACGTGTATCAAGAACAGGTGGAGGTACCTGGATATCAGCATTATTAGTAGGAATGAGAATAGGTAAGGAGCTTGGCTATTCTTACCGATATCTCTCTGAGAAAAGTGGTAACACGATAAATGTTCTGCGTCAAAAAATCATTTAGAGGATACATATATGGCTCCTTTGCTCCAAACAAGACGTTGTTCGCTAGATTCTGTATGACTTTTGCGATTAGGAGTAGACCACGTCGCATCTCCTTAGACGGTGGCGTGGCTACTAGGTTCTCTGCTTCGGGCGCGACGATGGCAGGGCAGAAGAATCTTAGAAATATGAAGGCCCCAACAGCCGTATATTTAGCATCTTGGAACCTAGGCATCACCGCTGAAGATATCTATCTGAATGTCAATAACGGTACCTTATACATATCGACAAGAACCAACTTACTATGCTGCAGATCTTCCTAAATGACGAAGGAATGCTAGTGGAGGATGCGCAAATATCGTCAATAAAAACTTTAGCGACGATGCGTAGCTGTAGCGCATTCTTTTGGAGTTCTTCTTGGGATGAAATTCTTGTTGGATCAAGCTCAAGATCCAAGTCCTTTGAAGTTAACATTAACCTCTCCACAACTTTTTGGAGCGTAGCTTTGAGATAGTTCGCCCCTTTCCACCTCGCGTAGATGGAGAGCATCTTGGTAGCGACACAATTCCGACGGAGTATCTCAGACTCATTCTCTAAATAAATAAATTAGTCTGGAGATTTGGGATAATGGCGCTTAACTAACCTGTATCTTCAATCTCCTGTTTAATCAACGCTTCCATAAGTTCAAAAACGCGCCCGCGAGATTCAAAAATGTAGAGCATCGAAATTGTAAGTTCCTCGACTTCGCCGCTTGGGCAGACTGTACTAATAGCAACGGCAAGGTTCATGTCGTGGGTAAGTAGCTGATTAATCGCGGTTAGCTGGCATGGACGGTTGAGGGGGGCCTGTTTGAATATAGCTGCCTACCTCTAATAGCTCATCGTACTTTTCATTTACTGCCTTGTCAGACAAGTTACTGAACTCTGTCCCTTGAACTAAAATATTGTAAAGGACCTTTATAAACGCGGTGCGAATCTCCACATTCTCATTATAGCCGATACTGAGGGAGTATTTGAGGCCTACGTCGATATTTGCGCTTAAGAGGTTTGAGAGAA